TGTTTCTTGCGTTGTCAGTGCAACAGATCAAACTAAATTTATCTCTAGGAAAGGAACAGTGTCACAAAATGTCATGGCGATTTGTGATTGGGACACGTGTTTTACTTTTGTCTTGGCTGGATGGAAAGGTAGCGCACATGATGCTCAGATATTTGATCATGCCCTCACAACTCCTTCAATGAACTTTCCCCATCCACCTGAAGGTATTTTTTTATTTCCTACATTTTATTTACATTTAGCTTAACAATAGAAACATAATTTACAATAATTTCATTTTTTATATAGGAAAATATTATTTGGTGGATGCTGGACACCCAACACCGAATGGATATCTCGGCCCATACAGACGGGAGCGTTACCATCTGCCTGATTTTCGAAGGACATCTGGGTTTGAAAATGACAATGAGGTCTTTAATTATTTCCATTCAAGTTTAAGGAGTACAATTGAAAGAACTTTCGGAGTTTGGAAAAAAAAAGTTCGCAGTCTTACAAAACATGCCATCCTATGATTATGAAACACAAGTTAAAATCGTTTGTGCAACGATGGCTATGCATAATTTTATTAGAACGACATCTATTACTGATCCTGGATTCGTTCAGTTGGAAGAAGAAGGTACTTATGCAGAAGAAGATGATAATGGGGTTGGATTTTCACATATACATTCATCAATTCAATCTTCATCTTACATGGCTTAGGTTCGTGACAGCATAAGAGACGAACTTGTTAATTCAATACAAGGATAGTAGTCATGTCTTATTTTTTTCCTTTTATCATAGATTGTAATATGTAGTTAAAAACAAAACCTATTACAAATGCTTTGTATCGATGCATCATCTTAATGATTATGACACTTCTTTATTTATATTTCTTTTATTAATATTATACCTTATATTCTCAAGCTAATTATTACTTACTTTAATAATTAATAAATTGTTTTAAGACGTGTTTATTCTATTTTATTAAACAATATCATCCCATTTTATGTTTATAATCTTCATGAAAAATACATGATTTTCTGTTTGTAACAAAATAATTCATCTTCTCTAAAAATATTTTCACTCTTATATTTTATGAATATATATGTGTGGTGACAATTAATTAATTAATTGTATTAAACATCAGAGGTTATTATACATGTAGTATGTTATTACAAAAAGTAGTTGTGAAAAAATGTTATGGGATTTCACGTTTAAAATCTTTAAAGAAAATTAATATTTTTCTATTAGCAAAAAAAAAAATTCATTTTTCTATAAACATATTTAATATTATGTTTTATAAATATATATACACATATTAATTATGTATTAATTATATTATCTTATATATTATTAATTATGTTAGTAAAAATTTTTTCATTAACAAATTTATTTCTTCAAATCAAAATATATCATAAAATCTATCCCTTATATAATTATCATATTAACTTATACCATTTTTGGTAATTTTCACATGTAAAAAGTGCTTCTGGTAATAATTATCCAAACACTCTCACTTCTAAGAATCACTTTTTCTCAGAATCTATTCTCCACAGATTCTATTATCCAGAATCACTTTTTCAAACCACTGTTTGGTTTCATCCAAACACACCCGGAATAGAATTAGCGACAGAAATTTCTGACAGAAAAAATTCCGTCTCTAAATATTTATTGACGGATTTTAGGAAAAACGTGTCATATTTTTTTATAATTAACTAACTTACCTAACTTTCTTAATTTAATCAAATTAGTTAAATAGGTTTTATATTAAGAATAAGAGGAGTACAAATCTCAAAACCTGTATGTGATAAATGTGGCAGCTGAGCAATTGAGCATGGTTCTCCCAACGATGCGTCTCGCCATGATTTGCTTTGACATAATTCTAGTTTTGAATGTTAACCCAAACAAGTCTAGGTTCATATCTCAATCACTTTCATATTTTGAATGCTCGGATGATGATGTGTAATGGGGAAGATTTTGACATAATTCCTAATTTTGAATCTCACCGAAAACAAGACCAGGTTCGTCTCAGGCTATGTTTGAGTGACACACTAAACCATAGTTTGGGGAATAAATCACTCAAAAACCAAAACCATGGTTTTGAAAAAAGAAAATTTTTTTTGCTTTTGGAGAAAAAAGGGAGAGTGTGAGAGCCTATAGGATATGTATCTTGTTATTTTTTTTATAAATATATTTTTTTATAAACATATTTAATCTTATATTTTATAAATATATATACATATTAATTATTTATTAATTATATTATCTTATGTATTATTAATTATGTTAATAAAAAATATATTATTAACAATTTTATTCCTTCAAATTAAAATATATCATAAAATCTATTTTTTCTGTAATTATCATATTAACTTATGTCTTTTTTTTAGTAATTGTATATATAAAAAGTGCTTCTGATAACAACTATCCAAACACTCTCACTTCTCAAAATAATTTTTTTCATAAAATCTATTCTTTCCAGAATCTATTCTCCAGAATCACTTTTCTAAACCATGATTTGGTTTCATCCAAACACACCTTCAACCACTCTAACATCGCGGTTTCTATATAAAGCATAAATATAAATTCATTCTGACGAGATTCCTCTCTTTCCCAGAGATCCAACGGGTCGACTGTATGAGTTATGAGAATGGGTACTCAATTATTCGCTATCGATTTAAATCATTTAGATTCTACATGGTGTAAATTTAGTTTATTTTTTATATTTTAAATATATTTTTTGATAAAATTTAAAATAAACTAATGTTAAACACTGATGATTATTTGTCATTTATTTTAAAAATGAATTTAATATTTCGAAAATTACATCATGAAAGCTTTAAATATAAGCGTATAAATTACTAATAAATTGAATACACACACGTGAGGATCCCATCATCATGAACTGTATATTGAAGCGGCAATAGTAGTTTTTTATTCACTCAACCCTTGAATCACACTTGATCTGAATTATTTGCACTCATATAAATTACTACTTCCACTGCTTAATATAAAAATTTGTTTAAATTTTCTTTTGATTCCAAATATACCATCCTAATCTATTTTATTTATTATATTTATCTATTTTCTTCTAAGGTAATTCTTATAATAATGATAATTTTAACGAATACACTTGATTAGCAAGAATATTTTAGAAAAGACAACACCTATTTATTATAAATAACAAACTTGATAAGTTTTCTTAGTTTTTCTAAATTAGTTAACTAATTCTTATACTAAAGATCGAAAATAGTATTTAGTTGGAGTGAGGTAGACCTAAAAAATCGTAAGTTGTTGGTGGTAAAACTTTGTCTCCTATTATGCTTTGGTCCAACTCGATTGAAGTGAATCCAGAAAACACAAAATTTTAGTAACTTGTTAATGTGGCACACTGTAGGTGTTTTCGTTGATCCGGATGAATGAGATCTAATGCGGTTGAGGGACGCGGAGAATTTCTCCCGTGAGAGCATCCTAATCCTGTCTTTATACTCTAATTAATAGAAATATTTGAATTTAAATAAAATATTCTTTTTAGATATTCATATTCTCTCTTCTTTTAGTTTAGCACACAGCAATAGTATTTTGCTTTGATATTTTCTCTCCGTGACCACGCATGAATTACGTCCAGTTATTGATATAAAAGTTAAATAATTAATTTAGAGATATTAAGAAAATTAATTAAATTTGTTATTTGTTGTAGATTTATGTTAACTTTCATAAACTATCATATTTAATCATGCACACTTAAATACTTTTTGGTGGGATATTTTTAGAGCAAATAGGAGATAAAGTATATTGAGATCTTATATTAAAAACTGAATCTAATTTCCAATTGGTTCTTATATTAAAAACTATGAAAAATATTATATTTATTCAAAAAAGTTTAAATCAGATGATACAATATAATGTCGTGAGATAAGTGGCATCCATATATGGAGTATTAGAGTGCGACTTAATATTTTGATATATGTTATTGACATTATTTATATTTGATATACTTGATGATCGGAAAAGGACAATCAGTAAATATCAATTCGTACAATTATTAATAAAAATATCCTGAATTTGCTGTTCTTTGAGTGGCAAGATGCAGTTTGTTTTACCTCTTGTGATACCTAGCAGTCGCAGCTCATGTTGATTTTATTTAATCTGGTTATCTAATTAACTACGCACGTAAATAAGAAAAATGAAACTAGACTTTTATCTCAAAATGTTATTGGCTAAATGAATTGGATTGATTAGTTATAAAGTTTTATAGCTAGTTATAAGTGAAAAATTAACCCCTCAATAGACTATTTTATATTATGAACTATGAAAGCCATTCATAAGTGGCAGTAAATCTTTTTTTCTTTTTTTTTGATAAACAGAGTATATGTTGAATAAGTACTATTTTCCAATTTTATTTTCAAATATATATGTTAATATAATATTATATACTATTATCTTTCATTTAATCAATCAATAAAATTTTTTATATGAGTAATTTTTTTATCTGAATTTTATATGAGTAATTTATTTCTTACAAAAAGTAAGTTAAAAATTTTTCATAAAAATGTTTAAAAACTCATTTAACAAGATAAGAAATTGAAGATAAATCTATTTGTGATGTTGAAAAAAAAAACAGTCCTTGTGGATTCTATCAAAAAAAAGAATACCAAAGAAATTTTATTTACGCATTATATTTTCCTATAGGATCAAATGGAACATGTTGGTTGATACCTGAATAAGTGCTGAAATATTGAGACGAACAGTTGCACTTCTCAAGTTTAAAAAAAAAAACAAAAGATGAGGGAAAAGAAAGAGTTGTTCACTGCTTCAAAGATGAACGGCGAGGGCAGAGATCACCCTGTGTAAAAGCAAAAGCTCCGATTACTCGCATCAGGCCATCAGGCCATCAGCTTATCCTTTTCCCTCGTGGCTGTGGGTCCCGTAATCTCCTTTCATTTCGTCTCTTCTTTCCCTGTGATTGGGATTCGGCTCGCATGTCCCAGAAATCCGCAAACTGTGCGCCAGGAGTTAAAAGCGCGCATGCTCTGCTGATGTGATCGCCGGCGCTGCACATGGATATAACCTACGTATCGCCAAGTGGCAGCAATCTGGCTGGTGATTCCTCCTCCATGCCGGCATCGGCTTCGGCGTCGCCCACTCGTCCTGTACGGGTCATCCCTTTGAAGCACCCTACCATTCCGGCGTCGTCGTCGTTGTCGTCTAGTTCTCATGTCAATCTGGTGCTCTCCAGATGGGCCACGAAGCTCCGGCTAATGACTTGTGTTGAATGGATCGAGCTCTTCCTTCCTTGCTGTCGTTGGATTCGGACTTACAGATGGCGCGAGTATTTTCAGGTTGATCTCATGGCTGGAATCACAGTCGGTGTCATGCTTGTTCCCCAGGTGATTCATGGTTCCTTTACTTAGGCTGCCTGTGGGATATAAGACATCAAAACTTCTCGTCCATTATGTCGTTGCGGGGTGCTTCATAGAGCCTGGGGGCCTGAAAATATCATATTCCGGAATTGCGGAAGTTGTTATACTCTTTTCTGTGGAATAAATAGTCATTGAACTTCTACCGGACTTCCAAATTTCTGTTGAATTAGTAGAAATTGAACGACCGAACTGAATTCTTACTGTGTCTGTTGCGATCTTTTTTTTTTTTTAAATTTTTTGGGGGCTTTCAAAACCAGTTTCTCCGCTGAAAGCTCTTGAGTATTGAGCTGGAGGAGTGGAATATTTTCCCTTTGTAGTGCCTATATATTACTTTCTCTTTTGCATTTCTTGGAAACAGAATGCCTTGCTTGAATTTCTTGAGAGGTTTATAACTTGTATGATTTTCCATTTCTTAAGAGGGGAAACGCCGACTTTGAGTCCTTAATCAGTATAGGAAGTTGTCGTTTGAACTTTTCATAACTGTGTGTTAGTGGGTCCACGCTCAGCAGGATGCATATTGGCTGTTGTAAATTTGACTGTTTTGGCCAATTTGACAATTTGATTAATGGCTCTGATTTTGATGTTAATGTTTTCAATTACTAACACATATCATGCTGTCATTCCTTTTGCTTTCTTTTCCCCAAGTTTTCATTCGTTTTCGCACGTTATGATCGTCTCTGAATATACATGGAATGTTGTCCTTTTACTTATCTGATAAATGTCGTGCTTGTTAATTTAATGATTTATTGTGATTATATTTTATATTGATTCGCTATATGTCTGTAGGCACCTGTTTCCCTTTATTAATTATTTTGTGGCTTTTTGAACAAGCAGGGAATGTCCTATGCAAAATTAGCTGGGCTTCAACCTATATATGGACTTTGTAAGTTTGTTAAATTGTCATCCTGCTTATAAATTATAATTAACCTCCCTGCCACAAGTACAGCTTCTGAAATATTATATTTTGGTTCTTTTTCCTGATAGTACTTGTTCTTTTTATTTTTATGATTATTTTTTGGCTAAAATGCACTTCTAATTCCTCTTTTTTATTTATTTATTTATTTATTATTTTTAATATGCCAACTTTGTACATAGTGCATCAGGGATGCATTCACTAGTTCCATAATTCTTAAGATTAAAAGGTAAATACCTTGGCTTTATCTACCATAGTTTATACAAATTGAGAAGGACACCCTAAGAGAAATCAAAGAATTTAACATCTGAGAGAAGTTGAGAAGGACACCCTAAGAGAAATCAAAGAATTTAACACCCTGAGAGAAGTCTGAATGATAGATGTCCTACAGTTGTAAGTCTCATTTTCTCAAGAATGGTCAAAGCATCGTGCCCTCAGTTTCCTTTGCAGAAGGAAGTAGTAAAGATAAATCCAAGAAGTAGAAGAAGAAGAAGAAGAAAAAGGAGAAGCTGCAAAGAGGAGCTTATTTGTTTAGTATTTTAAAAATCTTTTGCTTTTAAAAGAGAAATAAAACAAAAATGACTTCAGCCCACTTATTTTGCATTCTCAATTTTCAAAATCTTTTTGTTATTTTCTACATTTTAAAACTGAAATTGAGCTTCCTCCTATTTTCAAATTTGTAGTCTTATTTTAATTTGTTTTAACATGTATTTTGATGATTATATATATAAATTATAATAATAGTGTTGCAGTTAAATTGCTATTCATATTTTGATGATATGCATGCGTAAGAAAATATATACCCATGCTTTGATATTAACTGTACTGTGGGACCCATGCTTTGCAAGAGTATGAAGTAAACTGTAATATTCATGATTTATGAATAGTACAACTTCCTACAAATTTTACATTGACATTGATATTTTATAAAATGGGTTTTCGTGGTGAATGATATATCTAAATAGTTTTTAATAGATCTTAATGGTGTCATATAATCTATATAGTTTAACTCACCTAGTATGATAAGGCTGCTTGTTTTATATTGATTTTAATATTCATATGCAAACCAGACTATAAAAATTTTAGATTTTTATTTGACAATATCGAATCCATGTTACTTTTCGGTTATTTTTAGAATAAGCCTTACCATACACATTTTCTTTTCTTTGACATCCCACAATTGTTTCAGGACAGATATCCTGGAAAATATATCTCATTTTGAAGCCTGTTCTCAAAATAATGTTTATAACTAGCAGTTTTTGTCCATGGCTCCATGACATGTTGATGTTTCACAACTCAATTATGACTAAACTCCCTTTTGAACTTAGAAATTTTCTGCTAATTTCCGATCATGCATACTCTATGGGTTGTTTCTCTGCTTCAACAATCCTCTACATCTCCCAGCTCTACATTTTATCTTACTTCTAATCTTTGTTTGGTTGATTTCCTTTGCAAGGAAGACTCTGGCTTTGTGCCCATTTTTGTATATGCTGTATTTGGATCATCTCGTCAGCTTGCAGTTGGTCCAGTGGCACTCGTTTCTCTTTTGGTTTCTAATGTGCTAAGTAGCATCACTGATTCATCCAGTGAATTATATACAGAGCTGGCGATTTTATTGGCTTTTATGGTGGGGATACTGGAGTGCATAATGGGGCTCCTGAGGTATTTCTGCTTCTCCTTATTTTAATGAATATATGCCAATCATATGAACAAAGCTTGGCCTTCTTTGTGCTGCCCCTTCCAGGCGATACTCCAACTAAACTAAGGCCTTTAATTGGAAATGTTGTGGTTTTGCATGCTTTTTTGAGGTAAACTACAAATTTATGTGTGGTAAAATTACTTTAAGGTGCATCTTCCAGTCCTTCTTAATCAAAATGCGATTTGCAACAACTCATTGTTTACCTAATCATGTTCTCATTGTTCGTCAACCCAGTTAAGTTACCAAATGATTATTTTGATATGAAATTAAACATGGCTGTGCTAAGTTAACAATAATCCTAATGACTTTACGGTGTCACTTATTTATTTCCAGAAGAAGAATTGTGCTAGTGTGCGGCAGAAAACTTGCTTTATTTTCATGAAATAGATTGATGCATATAGGGAAGGAAGAGGATTGATCAAATCAGATGAAATCCTATCACAATAATGATAGAAAATAAAAACAGGAAAAGAAATATTCAAAGAATTCCTAAAACCATGGAGAAATATTAATAATAACTAGTAAAACTTGCGGCTGCCAAATAGAAGAATTAGGGTTAACTGTAATTGGGCTTATTTAACATCTGGCCCCCTTCCTACACTCTCGCTCAAACTGGCAAATAGATGTTGATCATCCCCAGTTTGCTAGCTAGTTCTTCAAACTATGCTTGAACTAGTGGCTTAGTCATCATACCTGCAACTTGTTTGCTTGAGGAAATGTAGGCTAGGTTGATCACCTTAGCTTTGATATTCTCTTAGATAAAGTGATGATCAATTTCAACACGTTTAGTTTGGTCATGTTGAACAGGATTGTTAGCATCTTTAAAGCCATGATACTATCACACCACATTTTGATTGGTGTAACTTTGATCCCAAGATCCTTCAATAGATGTACAACCCATAATCCTTCACAACTTCCAAGTGCTAGTGCTGTTATTCTGCCTTAGCAAAGCTTCGAGGTACAACATGCTGCTTCTTACTTCTCCATGTCACTGGGTTACCCTGCACAAAAGTATAGTAACTTGTAGTAGAGCGTCTCGGCATCAGTAAATACTTCAACACTGTTTTCCTCCTTTGTGCCAGGAGTTAACCTTTTGCATCAGTGTATATTTCCACATGTTTCTGATTCCCTTTGGAGAAGAACAAACCCTTCCCGGATGTAGTTTTCAGATATCTCTAAGGATTTAGTATATAGCTTACATATGCTCTTTTTGAGGGTTACTACTGAGTTGACTCACAATCCCCCTAGCATAAGAGATATCATGCCAAGTGTGTGATAGGTATATGAGCTTCCCTACCAATTTTTGATATCGCTCTTTGTTTGTAGCCTTACTATCTAGTTTTACCTCTAACTTGCAATTGAGTTCCATAGGAGTATCAGCTGGTCTGGCTCCTAGCATTCCAAAATCTTTTAGGAGATCCGTATTGTACTTTCTTTGTGACACACTAATACCTTTAGGGATCTAGCAATTTCCAATCCCAGAAAGTATCTCAAATTTCCAAGATCCTTTATTTCAAATTTTGTAGCTAACCTCTTCTTGAGGTGTTCAATCTCTTTAGTATCACTCCCTCTCAACAGAATATCATCTACATAAACTATAAGCACAGTTGTTTTGTGATTAGAGTGATTAAACAAACAATGTATGGTCTACCTGACATTTCTTATAACCAAATCCCTTGATAGCTAGTGCAAACCTGTCAAGCCATGCCCTGGGGGATTGTTTTAATCCATATAAGGATTTATAGAGTTTGTAAGCTTTGTTCTGATTTTTTGGACCTCATAGTCCCAGTGGAATCACCATGTATGCCTCCTTTTCCAGATCCCCATTTAAGAAAGCATTTTTAACATCTAACTGATGCAAAGGCCAATCTAGATTAGCAGCAAGAGATAACAAGACATTTATAGTACTGAATTTGGCAACAGGTGCAAATGTTTCTAGATAATCAATGCCACAAGTTTGGGTCAAATCTCTTGCTACTAGTCCGGCTTTATTCTTGTTGATGCTTCCATCCGGGTTGTTTTTCTTGGTAAATACCCATTTGCTACTTACAACATATTTGCCATGTCTGATTCTTAGCCAAGGCATTCGATTCATCATCAATGGCTTCCTTCTACTTAGGATCATATTGCTTCATTAAAAGTTCTTGGGATTGCTTGTTATCAATAGTAGTAACAGAATCCTTAAAAGAAGGGTTAAGCTTGTCACAAGAGATATACTTGTTGATTGAATGTCTGGTACTACTCCTTTTCCCTTTTCTTAATGCAACTGGCCATTGTAGATCGTCAGGAATAGACTCAGGTTGGGTTTCATGACTTGGCCTTGGTAGTGCAATAGACTCATCTCTGTTTACTGCTGTTTCCTCCTCTGTTTTAGTTGTCTGTAGTTCTGGACTGGGAGTAGGATTAGTGGGAGTTGCAGGTCTGGGCTGGTGACTGTTTACTAGGTTAGAAAGAGGCATATTTGGCTCGGTAATGGACTGTTCTTGATCTGTACAAAGCTATTCAGGTCCCAAAAAAAGTGTTCCGAATCAAGATTGATGGGAATGGAACTCGTATCAGCAGGGTTTGGTGTTTGGGAACCACAACTGGGAGCATTATTTTGCTGTTCACAATGGTTTTCACTCAATTGATGATTATCCTACCACAGATCAACCATTCACTATTACTCTCCCCCTGAATGGGTGATTTGGGGTAAAAAGGGAGAGATTCAACAAACTTAACATTGAAAGTCGCATAATAATGTTTAGTAGGAGGAGAAAAACATTTATAACCCTTTTGAATGGGTGAATGACCCAAAAAAAATACATTTTTCTAGATATGGAACCTAATTTGCCACCCTGCTCATAAAAAACAAACACTGTATGGCCAAAAACTCATTTTGGAAGAGTACTAAGGAGATGAGAATGAGGATAATGCTCCAAAAATTTCTGAATAGGTGTCTATAATTTTAAAACCTTTGAGGGCATTCGGTTCATGAGATAAGTAGAAGTAAGAATGGCATTTGCTGAAAATTTTGTTGGAACATTTTTATCAATTAAAAGAGCCCTTGCCAGTTCCAAGAGAGGTCTGTTTTTTCTTTTTGTGACACTATTTTGTTGTGGTGTATGCAAACGAGAGGTTTGATGATGGATACAATTTTCAGCAAGATATTTTTGAAAGTTTGTGTTGACATATTCTTTGCCATTGTCACTTTGAAGAATCTTAATGGATGTTTGAAATCAATTTTGAACAAAAGCGTGAAAGTTTTTAAAAATAGAGAAGACTTTGAATTTTTCTTCCATTAAAGATATCCATGTTAAGCGAGTATGATAATCAATGAACGTGACAAACCATTTGGCTTTGGAAGTAGTTTCGGTCCTAGATGGACCCCAAACATCAATATGTATTAAGCCTTAGCCTTGGGGAAGGTGATTGGCAAAGCTAAGGAGTGCAATGGAGTCTACTATCTTGAAGACTATTCCAAGATCTCGATGATCAATTCCTCTTTTGTTTTAGGTTCAGTTTTTTAAGTTATGTCTCATGAAGGCATCATGTTATGGCATTCTAGAATAGGGTATCCGAATCTTGCTTATATGAGAATTTTGTTTCCTAATTCCATCAACAAAGATTTTCAGTTTGTCATTGTGATACTTGCCAATTTGCAAAACAGACTCGTTCGTCTTATTTGTCTTCACCTTATATACCAACTCATCTTTTTGCTTTGATACTATGCAGGTGTGCGGTGAAAAACTTGCTTTATTCTCATGAACTAGGTTGATACATGTAGGGAAGGAAGAGGATTGATTGAATCAGATCAAATCCCATCACAATAATGATCTAAAATACAAACAAGAAAAAAAAAAAATTCATAGTATCCCTAAAATCATGGAGAAATATTAATCATAACAACACTAACAAGCTTTATCCCACTAGGTGGGGTTGGCTACATGAATCACACGACGTCATTGTGCTCTGTTAACAACCCAATCCTTAAATATGCTGTTGACCAGGAGGTCTCGTTTAATGACTTCATTAAGCGTTCTTCTCGGTCTTCCTCTGCTTTTTTTATGGGACTACATATTGTCTGATCTACCCTCCTCATCGGGGCCTCTAATGGCCTTCTCTGCACATGTCCAAACCATTTTAAGTGATTTTTAATCATTTTCTCTTGGATAGGTGTCATGCCGACTCTTACTCTAATGTTTTCATTTTGAATCCTATTTTTTCTTGTATGACCACACATCCATCTCAACATCCTTATTTCTGCTACTCCAACTTCGTGCTCTTGTTTTCCCTTTATTGCCCAACATTCACTGTCGTACAACATAGTTAGTCTTGTAGCAGTCCGATAAAATTTTTCCTTAAGTGTCTCAGGTACCTTCTTATCACAAATAACTCCGGTAGCCTTACTCCACTTTAACCAGCCAGCTTGTATTCTATGAGAGAAGTCTCCATCAATTTCCCTATCCTCATGTAGAATGGATCCTAGGTATTTAAACTTTGATACTTGAGGAATGATTTGACTCCCCATCTTTACCTCCAAATCCCCATTGCCTTGCCTCCTCCCAAAATTACAATGCATATATTCTGTTTTATTCCTACTCAAGCGGAAACCTTTCGACTACAAAGTCCTTCTCCATAACTCCAATCTAGTGTTAATCTCTTCTTTTGATTCCGCTATGAGAACTGTCATCTGCGAAGAGCATGGATTTAGGGATTCTTTCTTGAATAGGTTCGGTTAGAACATCCAAAATAATATTAAACAAGTATGGACTCAAAGAAGATCCCTGATGTAGGCCAATCTTAATGGGGAAGTCCTTTGTCTCACTTCCAGGCATTCTTACATTAGTAGTTACCCCCTCATACATATCTTGTCTGGTTTTGATATAAGCAACCCGTACACCTTTCTTTTCCAAAGCTCATTAACTTATCGCTCGCTTTGAAATATTAATCACAATAATTAGTAAAACTTGCGGCTGCCCATTAGAAGAATTAGAGTTAATTGTAATTTGACTTATTTAGCATATCACTCGCTTCCATCAAATTGAATGTTTATTAATTGGGAATTAACTTATTAGCTGCCATCCCGGTTGGCCCCCACCATCAGTTTCCTTGTAAATTGGCTTTTAATAATGAGCTGCATTCCGTGTCTTGGAATTTACAGACACTATAATTACATGTGTCCCTGATGTAGGCCAATCTTAATGGGGAAGTCCTTTGTCTCACTTCCAGGCATTCTTACATTAGTAGTTACCCCCTCATACATATCTTGTCTGGCTTTGATATAAGCAACCCGTACACCTTTCTTTTCCAAAGCTCATCAACTTGCCGCTCGCTTTGAAATATTAATCACAATAATTAGTAAAACTTGCGGCTGCCCATTAGAAGAATTAGAGTTAATTGTAATTTGACTTATTTAACGTATCACTCGCTTCCATCAAATTGAATGTTTATTAATTGGGAATTAACTTATTAGCTGCCATCCCGGTTGGCCCCCACCATCAATTTCCTTGTAAATTGGCTTTTAATAATGAGCTGCATTCCGTGTCTTGGAATTTACAGACACTATAATTACATGTAACATGCAATTTTTTGTTTTGTGGGTTTTCCAGGCTGGGATGGCTGATTCGTTTCATAAGCCATTCAGTGATTTCTGGCTTCACAACAGCTTCAGCTATTGTTATTGGTTTATCTCAGGCAAAATACTTCTTGGGTTATAGTATAGCACGAAGCAGCAAGATCATCCCATTGATTGAGAGTGTAATAGCTGGAATCGATAAGGTATTCTTTACTGATTTATTTGAATTTTTCACTATTCAATGGACATGTCTTTTGAGGTGGTACAATTACCAAATTTTTTCCCCAATAATGCTAACTTATATCTGATGTAATATTGTCATCCCTTAAAATTACTTTTTAACTGCCTCTTTATGAGTTTTTGCTTAGTCAATTGAACTTATGGTACATGTAATTTATACGCTAATGATAAGTAAAGTAAAATAGGAAGGGAATTTGGAATTTGGGTTTTATGTTTTCATGGGAAAATTTAATGGAATGTTACAGTGCGCTGAACAATATATGTTAGTAGCAAGGGTTGCAAGCTTTATGATGTGGCAAAAGCTACTCTTATATTCCAGCAAGGGTTACAAACTTTATAGGCATAAACCCTAGACACAGTGAATGAGATAAAACAGAGAATCAAACTCAAATCTTCATAAATGCACACGAGCCATAATCTCATTAAACAAAAAAATAATTATTCGGGCAGATCAAGGGGAAATAGTGAGAGAGGTTTTGGTCCATTGGGCCCTATAGAATGCCAAAGGAGCCTGACACATTCTCCTGTATTATTCTCTCTTGGAACACATGCATAAATTTAGGGGACCGATTTAGAAGAAAATTAACCAGAGTATCATACGTTGGGTTTGGTTATGTTACTCATGGAAAATAACAATTTTCTGATCAGCTTATGAAACTGATCATAATATCTGAAAGAAAGAATTCAAGTTTAATTCTAAGCTGATTATGAAATCGGAGTGGAATTCAAAGTCACTGTACTAGTAAACCCGGAAAGAAAACTTGTGTTAAGAAACACAAAAGTTGCCTCGGGGAATGAATGTTTAAATTTTATAAAAGTAATGGCTTACTAGTCGTAATTTAAATTGTATGCATGTAAGTAAGAATGTAGGATTTCTAAGATATTAAGTTCAAGTGGGTTTTGGGGGGAACAAGTAACAGGAAAGTCCTTTAGTGGAGCACTTTATTTTCTACCTTGAGGCATCTATAGTTTGAACATAGTCGCAAGTATTTTCAGTCAAATCTTCTTCGGTAACAATTGTTTTTCTTTTGGGCATCCATTTGGGTGTCCCTTCTGGATTTCAATTTTTTTTTCCCCTTGGTTTGAGAGGATTCTTTCAGTGCCATAGTCATAAGAATAATAGAGATCATGTGATATCTCCTACTTGGGCTATACTGATGCCAGTGTCCTGCATCATGATAGTTAGAACAATGAGTTTGCAAATTACGTATTTATATGTTCTGGTCTTTTCATCTAGAAAAGGGGCGGAGTCAATTTTGTTTAGCTTCTTTTCACGTTCTGAAGTATTAGATGTTTGTTGAAAAATGGAATAATAAACATAAAATGCAAGTAAATGAGGATATGTTATGTGTTTACGGGAAACTTCTTTTTGTGGTTCATTGCGCGTTTAAGGCAACATAATTTCAGCGTCTTATTCTCGTGCTAAATGTTGATGTAATTTTGAGTTTAAATTAACCAATGAAGGTTCCTTGTACCATCCATAATGTGTTAATTCCTAAATTTGTTGTTATTTACTACGTCTTTCTAATGGTTTCATCTGTCAATTCCTGTTGACTTGATATATATGTTTTTCCCTTCTGTAGTTTTCTTGGCCTCCTTTTGTGATGGGATCAGTGATGCTAACAATACTACTTGTCATGAAGCACTTGGTATGAATCGATTCTTTGTTGTTTGTGGAACATTAATGTCATTGGTGTTCTCATATTGACGTTCTATCTGCAGGGGAAATCACGGAAGTACTTACGGTTCCTAAGAGCTGCAGGCCCTCTCACAGCAGTAGTTCTGGGAACAGTTTTTGTAAAAATATTCCATCCGTCATCCATTTCTTTGGTGAGAACTGAGAATCATAGCTAAGATGCTTTTTTGTCTCTATAATAGTAACCTAGGGAAAAACTTGATGGATAATAGAAGAGGAATGATATGTACACTACCTGATACCATCAACCGGATATTTGCCATTTTGTACTGCATTAAAACTTTTGTTTTCCTTTTATACGGTAGTTTTCAGTCATATTAGGACCAGTGTAAGCAGTTTTAATCTGGTCTAGGTTTCTTGATGATGTAAAAGTGATAGTAATTGCTATAATTTGATTCACGCTCCTTACTTTTGTTCCTCTTGTCACATATAAATGAGAACTTGTATGCTCAGGGCTGGTGACATGTCCACAAAGCTGATAACAACTTGTTAACATGTTCTTCAAGCTGATAGAGACTGAATCCAGAAAAGCTGACAAGTATTACTTGTTGTTTGATAGGTAGGAGATATACCTGAGGGCCTGCCAAAATTTTCTCTTCCCAAAGCCTTCAGCTATGCACTGTCCTTAATTCCAACTGCATTTCTCATTACTGGTGTGGCTATATTGGTAAAGATCTTCTTTATGCCCCAGTTATTTTAGTTGGTTCATTAAAATTGTTGTTTGGCAACATGTACACCATCTGTATATACCTTCAAACTTCAGGAATCTGTGGGGATTGCCAAAGCATTAGCAGCAAAAAATGGGTATGAACTGGATTCAAATCAAGAGGTATGTTTCTTTCGAAGATACGACCACACAATAGCCTGTTGGTTGCTATTTATTTACACTGGCCTAATGACTTCAATTACATGACGTATATGAAACCTGGAATGGACTATTAAACTTTAAGAAAAGAAATAACTCCACGTATGAAACTCTAGTTGAGAGCCATGGCACATTTTCCCTCTTTTCTTTGTCCACGATAATCCAGTGTCTCGCTTCTGATAAAATTAAGCACTGGATATATCCTACGTAGCCCTTGAAATAGCAACCAACTCTTGAGAAATGCTTGTGTAGAAATAGAAGGTGCAGCTGAAGAAGCTCATAAATTTACAAATGGAATTTCCTGTTAAATGGAAAGACTCGCCATAATTTGAAAATTCTTGGGAGAATGCTGAAATGACTTCTAAGCAATCCCAAACTTTCCTCTTCAGAACAAGGTGAAGCTTCTAGGTCTCTAGGGGAGGGTGATGATCTGCAAATTTTTACAAGACACACAGTAGACCCTCAATGAAGCTTCTAGTCTAGAAGCTTGTAGTAAGAATCTGAGATGATATCATGATGGTACGGGTGATGTGGGAGTAGTTGGAGCAATTATAAATTATAAAATTCAAAAAATTATAATATTTAAAATTTCTAAAAAATAGAATATAATTAATACTTAATTATTCTAATTAATTAGTAATTTAATTACTAATTAATTATATTAATGATTTTTATAATCACATAATTATTACACATAATTAAATTTAAAAATTAAAAATTTTAATTTTAAATTAAATTAAGAACTTCCTTTCCACGAGGGGGTATTAATTTCTTGTCAAAGAAGAGTGCGGTGAGGAGAGATATGGCCTCAAAAGCCAGAAGCTGTGTGCCTGTGTTCTGGTTGCTTGTAATTGTGTTAATTTCTGTTGCTGTTCTGGGTGTATCGGAGAATAAGGTTATGGTCAGGATCAGTAGTCATCTTTGGAACAGTTTTTTTTTTCTTTGGGTTATAAATATCACAATCCCGGAACTTGCACTTCATTCACATTTGCTATCAATATTTCTGTTCTGTTTTTTCATAGTATTTTAGCTGGTCTCGATCAAAATATCTCATAACCACCCTTCTGGATATTTTTGTTCAGTTATTTGGTTTAGGTGTTGCCAATGTTCTTGGTTCATTTTTCTCAGCATATCCAACAACAGGTAAGACTTATTTTTGAATTTGAGAACTTGAATGAAGTTGACTTTTTATGTAAAATCAGCAGTCAGTTTCATTATTGTAATTTTAATTATAGTGAAACCTTCAAGTGACCAAAAGGCATACGTATATTTAAAGATTTTTCATGCTTTTGAATGAGAAATGCAGGATCCTTTTCAAGGTCAGCTGTCAATCATGAAAGCGGTGCAAAATCTGGAATATCTGGTATAGTGACAGGAATCATAATAACCTGTACACTTCTCTTCCTGACTCCATTATTTAAAGACATACCTCAGGTTTGTGTCCGTGCCTCTACCTTGTACACGTCTCATTTATTCCTACAGGACTTGTTGCTTAAACGGATGGTTCTCCTGACCATATTTTATCGATAATTCTTGCCAGGATTTGATACATACAAGTTAGAATGATATTAAATTGGAAATGATGTTAAGAATTAAGGATCTGTTTTCCTGGGAATGCTGACTATGGTTTTTATGATTTCAATAAAATCCAGTGTGTTCTTGCTGCCATAGTGATCTCTGCTGTGATTGGTCTGGTAAGCATTTTCCTTCATGCCAATTGATTCATTTCATTGTCTACAATCAGGGGCAGTAGTTACTTGATGCGCTGTTGTAGTAGAAGGGTTGATCTCAAATTAGAGTTTATTGTAGCGCAGAACAGACCCTTATGGGCTATAACTTGATGCTGTTGGGTTCTGTTAATTTGCTTGGATTGTGAAATCCATTCCACATGAGATAATTGCTTTTTTATATAGATTTCACTACTTGTCTGATATTAACTACTTTGCTAATTTTTATCTTGTTTTCTTGGAATATCCTGTCCATGTAAAACTTGATTACTTGTATAATTTTTTAATATGCAAACAATGTTCTGTTGACGAAAAGTCCAAAGCCTCTAAATCCCATTTAAGTTGGTTGTATTGCTTTGCTGGTCGAAACTCACTGAAAATTTTTTTGATTTTCGTTTATATCTTTGTTCAGGTAACAAAATATAATATGTTTTCATTGGACTTTATTATTCAGGTGGATTATGATGAGGCCATTTTCTTATGGCGTGTAGACAAACGGGATTTTCTTCTTTGGACCATTACTTTCACTACAACATTGTTCCTTGGAATTGAGATTGGTGTACTTGTTGGGGTGAGTACAAGGTGAAGTTTACTTATAAGCAATGACTTTGTTATATATGGAGAAATTTGCTTTTCCTGAGAAAGTTTCAATTCTTTTATTGATCTAAGCGTATTCATTATATGATTTACTGATTAGAACTTGAGCCATTTAATGCTTGGTATTTTATCATGGGAAAATGAAGGTGATAGTTTTGCAGTCTTGTTTAACTATAAACCATGGAGCATGATATCATTGAATTTCAGTTGCGAGAGTTGTGATTTCCATGCTGCCCTTGAGATAGTCCCTTATATGCTTTACAATGTTGTGAAATTATAGGTGGGCGCTTCACTTGCTTTTGTCATTCATGAGTCTGCAAATCCACATATTGGTAAGTCCGTTTGTCAATTTTGGTAATTGCGGAAGATTTCCATTATTTCAGTTTTATATCTAGGAATGAAGACAAATTGTATTATAGACAGTATACTTCACACCTCAATAGGATCTGAATCATGTCATGGTAGAAAGCAGGAACTTTATGGAAGCTTGAAACCAACCTTACTTCCCAAGTTCTAAGGCTAAATTTGGGTACTCCTGTAGCATGTGTAACAAGACAAGTGCATCTAGGGATTTGAAAGAACCCCATCTTTATAACTGGTAAAATCTGATAAAAATGATATGATGAATTTAAAACCGAAAGAAAGAAAAAGTTATGGTTCAGGAGAATCTACAGGGAGTGTGCAAGATGGGTAGATGAAAGAAATAGCATAAGAGTGGATAAAGACTGATAAAAACAAACAGTTGCAAAGTAGAATGCCAGCAGCCCCAGCCAACACAGTAAAGACACAAAATTATAGGGAGAACGACATCAGGACCATTGAAATGTGGTGTTCATATACGAGTCTCATGAAATGAGCTAATTGCACTGGAGTCCTTAGATCCTTTTCTAACAGCTATTTTCATTATCGAATAACCATAATCCCATAATTTGAAATTATGCTGGAGCTCAATTACACTTTCCATATAATGATTGACAACTTTGATTATGAGTAATGACAACTATAAGTTTAGACATGCCAACCACTTTTCATAGATAACAACTTGGTTTCAATTGTTTTCATGACAAGTTCAGTGTGATAAATAATAACTTCCATTATAAGTAAGGGTTAAGGTGCAGATTTGCTCCCGAACTATTCACTAAGCACCGGAAGTTTTTTTGGGTGCAAATTTGCCCGGAAAGTTTAAAATCATAGCAACATTGTCCTCCTATCCTTAAAAATGTTGATAGTCAACGTTACTATTTTAACAGTCAACGTTAGTTTTTTAATGGTAGAGAACGATATTACTACGATTTTAAACTTCCGAAGTAAATTTGCACCCAAAAAACTTTGGGTGCTTCGCACTCGAGTGAATACTTTTAGGGCAAATTTGCACCTTAACCCTTATAAGTAATAACAACTACAATCCCATTCATGACAACTACTTTTCAAAACTTCAGCTTCTTTGTTTTTAAGGTTAGTAGTCGCCTAGAGCTCCATGACAACTTCCATATAACAATTAACAACTGTGATTATTACTTATAACAAGTTCAGCAGTGGCAACTACTTTTCAGAAAATAAACTTGATTTTAAAGTGTTAGTAGTCACCTAGAACTCAATGACAAGTTTTCTACATTGAGTAGCAATTGACAACTACAAGTTCAGTAGTGACGACTTTCTTTTACTTACTATGCAGAGGTTTAGTGTGGTAATTGGGCAAAAAAAAATTAATGTTAGAAAAGTCCCTAGGAATGCAACGTAATTTGCTCATTTCTTGGGACTATACGTCAATACCCTATTTTGGAGAACCTCTGTGTCCTTCTCCCAACTTTACAAGACCAAGTGCTTTAGGCTGCATTCGATTTTGTGGAAATTATACATATTTCCCGTGCATTTTATTAAATATGTATACCTTGTAGTTTCAAAACCAGTGTGAATCTCTCTTAAGTTTTGCTTAATTATGTAGATCTTATCTCTATTTTCAAAACTCACAGACCTCCCCTGAAACAAAAAATAAATTGCACAAATCTCCCTCGAGTTTTGTTGGAATCATGAAGACTCCTCCATGAAATCTTGCCAAGTTTTTCGGTAGTAATTCAAAATTCTGTACAAAGTTTCCAATACAGTTCTGCATTAAGTAGCTAATACCAGATGATGCATTTAACAACTTTACTCCTCTATTCTGTCGCATGGACCTTCTTCATGATTGAGTTTCTATTGATAAAAAAGACAAATTGGAACTTGGCTTTGTAATTAGGTCAATTTACTTAATTGCTTTTGTATGCATTACTGGATGATTCTTTCTAACGAGGATATGCTGAGGTTACTGCCTGGTGTGTGCTGCAGCTGTTTTGGGTCGTTTGCCTGGGACAACTGTTTATAGAAATGTTAAACAATATCCTGAAGCATATACGTACAATGGAATTGTGATTGTTCGTATTGATGCTCCCATTTACTTTGCAAACATAAGTTACATAAAGGACAGGTAATAAAACTTTAGTTGTATTTGAATTCTTGTATGAGAAAATGTTGCTTGATTTATTTAGATTTTTTCCAGGTTGCGGGAATATGAAGCGGATGTTGATAGATCTACAAAACGTGGACCCGAGGTTGAAAGAATCTATTTTGTGATTCTAGAAATGGCTCGTAAGTCACCTTGATCTGTATATTTAGAAGCATATATGGTGTCGTATATGTTTTTTAGCATAATTAAATTAATAGCTACTGGGCATGAATGGGTGTTGTCCATTGAAGTTTTTTTCTTGAATTTTTCGGTCTCTTTAATGTCACGAATTAAATTCTGTTTTAAAAACTTCTAGGAATTTTCAAATGTAGAATCTGCATAGTTAATTTTCTTGGACTGATTGAGTCCTTCTCTAGATGCAATCGTCATACACCACTTAGCATCCACTATTTTAATCAAATTCCTACCATTATCTACTGGTTATGATCTAGTTGTTATCTGCTGAGCAAAGAATTATACTTCTCCACTCCATGGCCCCAGCACCTTTGCAGTTGCTGACATCTCTGGTAGTCCTCTGATTTCAGCAATGTTCACACACTACTAGTTTGCCATATAATGTTGGTGACTGACTTCTGTACCAAATATTGGGAAATGATCTGAAAAATTGTGAGAATGTCTTGAAGCCGCTTCACTCAAAGATGGTTCCTTTAAAACGAAGGACTGAAATGAATTCCAGCTGTAGAACCAGTCTTTCTCTTTCTTATTTGTGAAGATATGGTCAAGATTGATGCTTGCTGCGTAAAGTTGCTTTCCTTAATGAACAAACTGAAACTTTTTTAATTGAACCTTTTTCTGTAAATAACATGCCAGAATATCAACATTGTATTATAAAGTTTTGGTTGTTATTATTGCAGCTGTGACCTGCATAGACTCTAGTGCTATTCAGGCTTTAAAAGACTTGCATCATGAGTACAAACTACGGGGCATCCGGGTACGATGTGACTAAATTTGATCCTCTAGATTCATGCATTTGAAAGGAATGACCAGGAAAAAAAAAAGAAAAAAAGGAAAAGATTGTGTGCTTATCTTCATACCTATTGTCTTTCTTCTCCTTCTCTCTCCAAATGCACTATTTATGCTTGTAAAGTATTCAAATTTATGTAACTAGGCTATTCTGCATTTTGAAGTCTTGAAACCATACCATAGCTATAATGTTCCACTAATCAACTGGGTTTTTCTTGCAGATAGCAATCTCCAATCCAAACCCAGAAGTTTTGCTTACGTTGTCCAAATCTGATGTTGTGGAGCTGATAGGCAAAGAGTGGTACTTTGTGAGAGTACATGATGCTGTTCAAGTTTGCTTGCAGCATGTTCAGCAGTTAAAAGAGGGGTCCAGGACTCCTCCACAGAGAGGAGAGAACCTTTCGAATACCGATTTGGAGGCTGGTAATGGCAATCCTCTGCTTCCCGAGGACACCGATTCCCAGTTGGAGCCATTGTTGTCAAGAAAATCTTGACTTGAATTCTGTCTTTTCAAAGAGTGGTAAATGATTCTATTTTTTGTTTAGCCCATTCTTTCGGATAGCTATCTTAGAGATTAGGCTTCATTGTAACTTACGAGCTTGTGCAATCTTGCTAGTTGTGAAAATAATTCGCGTTTGTAATCTTAACTAATATTTGTAAAATATAAGGAATAAGATATATATATAAAAAAAAAAATCATTTCTTGTCGGATTACTCATTCTAACGCAGTGTGTAACTCACCTGTTCAGCTTTTTCTGTCGTTATAATTTTTTTCGTTGGACGGACATGGAGAAACGATGGCAATACCATTGAGCAACTGTAAAATTTATTTGTTTGGATTGGGTGGGAAATTTTTCATGGGTATTGTATTTTGAGGGCTCGAGTTCAAATTTGGGCGTGGTATGTGTTCCGTCTCAGACCTCTCTGCCCACGTATACAATTAGGTATTTGTAAGTTTTTTATGGTTTTTTTTTTTTTTGAAAAATCAAGTCCCATTTGTTTTAAGGGTAAAGTAGCATTTTATTCCCTATTACTAATATTATTTGTAATGAATCCAATATCCTGTTGTTTATCAATTATAATCTCGTTTATTGTTTAGGGTGTCGAATACTTTAATGTTTTCCTAATGCACCCTTTGATGTTTTTTTTTCCAAGTTATGTTTAGGCTCCTCATCTTCTTTACTATTTAGTGTGCTTGATGCATTATAAATAAGAAAAGGTGCTCTAGGTACTAAAAATATAACATTAGGGTGTTAGATGTATCATAAATAAAATTAGGGTAATTGATGTAATTGGAAATAACATTATGCCATTGTACCCTTGCTATTTGTTTTTTTGGATTACTATTCATGATGTAGCCCTAAAATTTTGGCAAGATTTAAAAATTCATTACTAAATGTAGAAAAATCAAAATGAGATTGTTCTAGTCTTTATTCTTGATTTTGCAAACCTCAAATGGTCACTTAAACTTGTAAAATCCCAAATTCGTTATAATGACCAAATTTCAATTTGGAAATGTTAAATGAGTTTACAATGTTATCCTTTAATTTTTCTTTTTTTTTTTAAAAGACCATCAAGCCACAGGCCAGTATTGGAGTTTAGGTGGGCAACTATTTTTGGGATTTTTTTCATGTCAAGTAACATGATTAACAAGTTCTTTAACGCTATTAACAAATTTAGTATAACTAGTAACAAGAAGTTCTTCAAGAAATTAAAAAGCGGCATTTCAAGAAGTGATATTTTTACAATTTGAGTAACACAGTTAATGTAACATTCTGATTTTTAGGCCTAGAAATACCAGAAATAGCTTAAATTGGATAGGCTACCAGACTTTTTTGTAGTAGAGGTCCCAAAGATGAGAAAAGAAGTTAAAGCGGTTTCAGGGACTAAACTACAAAGTAAAAGTTTTAAGGGGCTAAAGTTTAATCAAAGTTAGAGGCTCTAGTAAAGTGCCAAAGGCCCAAAAAGAGAAAAGAGGCTAGATACAGACCAAAAGTTAAATTAGAAGCCTCAAAGAGATGGTTTTATAAGGTTGAGCCTAAGCAGAGGTAAAACCGTAAATTTAAAAAGTTACGACCATCAGGGATAAAAATGGAAAGTACATAGAAAATTCTAAGAAAATCCCAAAAAATAGAAAATAATATTCTAAGATTCTTTTGTGAAGATAGATGACGAAAATACCCCTGAGATAGCTTAAATGGAATTTATAAGGTTATTACCAGTAAAAAGTATACTATTTGAGGTAATTATTTAAAATAGCAAGAGACCTAAAAAATGTACGCAAAAATGAGATTAAAGGGTTGAAAGGTTGTACTAATTTATAAAATTAGTCTTGACCCTAGAAGGCCAGCAGAATGGCTTTAATATTTTTTAAGGCCAGAACTACAGTTTATGGGTTTGTTATGGGAAATTTAAAAAGAAATACTTATGGTCTGAGTTATGATCTGAGAAAATTCATAGATTTTCTACAGAATTAAACAAATTTTGTGGTATAAATTGATGAATTTTTGGAGTTCAGGATTGGATAAAATGTTCTAGTTAAATGTTAAATAATTAATGTTCCCTTAATTAGGAGACAAAGTTAGAAAATATCTCGGATATTTTGAGGAAGACAAGTTCAACTTGAATTCTCTTCTTCCTTCCCATGTGCTTCATTTATGAGGGTGATGAGTCATCATATGAGTCACCAGAAGATATTTTTTGGGTAGTAGAAAAATTAGAATGCAATACGGGTAAGTGTTAGACAGTTCCCTATCTACCTAGTAGAGCAAAATTTCTACGATGTGACTCAATAAGGTTAACAAATTGGTCAATAGTGTTGACTATTTCTTCCCCTCTACTCCTTTAAGGTGGCACCATATATATACCTTTTATTGGCTAGAATTTTAAGAAGAAAATGTCTCGGTGGTATAAGGCAAGTCAGGACCCGAAAAATATCTGATACGGTGCAAGATTGGTTTGATAGGTGGAGAAATAATTAAAAAAAATATTTTTGCACGAATTTCCATTTATTTTCTCCCTATTTTAATGCCAAGTTGATGAATGGACATGAAAGGAATTGTTCAAATTGTTAGAAAAATCTAGAACCATCTAGAAGAATCTAGAACAATCAAGAAGAGTACAGAAGAACCTAGAGGGATCTAGAAATCTTTAGAAGCATCTACAAGCTTCTTGAAGCCATGACTCAAGACACTTGTCATCTTCTTAGGTTATGTTGCCTAAGATTTGTACATTTGGAAAGAAGTAAAAATTGGAGGGCCAAGATTAAGTCTTATGCAAGAAGGGTATATGTGAAATTAATGAAATTTGAAGCCTATAAATACCCCATCCCACATGTTCATTTCGTGCAAGACCAAATGAGTGGGGGAAACTCTTGCAAAATCAAAACTAGAGAGAGAAATAAGAGAATTCTAGAGAGGGGAAGTGACTTGGAACCAAGGTAAGCCTTCCAAACTTCTCTATGTTGGTTTATGGTAGTTATATATTGATTTTATGATAGTTTGATGATGTTGGGAAGTCATTTTCCTAAGGGAAATGCTGCCAAATTTTATCAAAATGATAAGGAATAATTTTACAAAGCTAGAACATCAATCCAAAATTAAGAGAAAAGGGTTAGGTTCAAGAAGGTTAGTCTTGAACTTTATATAATCTCTTGGTCTAAATGGATTGTATGACCAATGTGATTATGTTTAGGACCTTGGAACATTCAATAGGATGTTTGATGATGTTGACCGAAAGCCCTTATGGTTGGGAAGTTAAGGGAATCAAAAGAAAAGCAAGAGGAAAGCTTGAGGTGCAAGGTAGTGAACTTACCCTTTATGTGCTCGATGTGGTATGCTCATGTGTTGGTTTGTATTTGTTTTTTGAATGATGTTGTGACATGATGATTGTTGCTGGAAATGCTGTTTCTAATATGTTCCCATGGCCATGCATTTTTATACCAAGCATAAAGCATGATGGCATGTTACTAGTTAACTTAATTTTATGAAAAACTACATACCATACACTAGCATCCATCTTGTGCATGTATGTGGTAATGTTTACTACTGAGATTTCCTCGAATCTCACCCTTCCCTAACCAACTATTTAGGTCAATCAACGATGGGTAATAATGGCATGAGAAGCAAGGAGAAGTAAGCGGAGAATTATTCTTGTTAATAGATGAGACTGTTGATGTATGTATAATTCTCCTATTTTGTAAACTATGTTATGGATGCCAATGATGCCATGTATTTAATTATAATATTTATGGCATGAATAGAAATGTATGAGAATGAATGAGAAAGAGTAAGCCCAAGTTATGTATGTCAAAGAAATAAAAAGAATTAAAGTAAAGAGTAGTTAAGGGGTAAAACGTAGGTCCTGGTGCAGTGAGGTTGTAACTCCAGTTTGACCTATCAAATGAATGAGTTTAGCCACGAGATTTGACATGCTTATAGTACACATCCCAAGCTTTAAAATGAGAGGTAGATAGCCTCAATTGGACATGTACACAAGGAGATACTAATTTTCAAAATTGAGGTACATAATCTGAAAGTTCTTGATTTTACCAAATGAATAGTAATTTTTATTGATTAAACTGTACGAATTGGGTGTAGATAAGTCTAATTGGATATTTTTTCCTTAAACATATTTCAAAGAGATTTCCATAGAATTTTAGAACACCTCAATACAATTTTTATGGAATTAGTTATGAGTTTTTGAAATTGGCCAAGATTTCAATGAAATGTGAATAGTGTGCAGAAGCATTCTGTGACTTGAGGTCGCAACCTGAGAAGTTGAGGTCATGACCTGAAGGCAAAAATGGCCTCTATGACTTCAAGTCACGACCTGGAAGCACTAAGTCACGACTTGATCTGGGAAAATGAAAAAGTTTCAAATTTTTAAGCCTTTTCTCATACTTAAGGGTCATATAAAGTTTCAAATGTGATTTTTCATAACTTGTGGTCTTTAAAAGTGATTCCAGATGTTTCCGCAAGGCAAGTTAATTGGTATAAACTTAAGGTGTTATAGTTAACAAGTTATATAATGATATTAACAACTCTCATAACACCATCAACCATGTGATTTGAGAGCTCTTCACTAGATCTCTAGCTATCAGCCGATGAGACCGATGACAACTATTTGTTCAAGGATTTTTTTTAAAGTCCATTAATGTCATTAACAAGTTCTTTTATGCTATTAATAAATTTGGTATTGTCATTAATGTCACATCTTACTTTTAAATCACATTTTATCTTAATTGGAACCATTTGGAATCATTTCTTATGGCCTTAAGTAGGAAAAATTCAAACTTAAAATTTCCATAAATTTGGGTTATTATTCTTTTTAATCTTCATAAAGGCCAAACTTTAAAAAATCATAATTAATTCTAAAAAAAATTGAAACAAAGTGGTTCCAAGTTCTACTTAATGCTCTTAATATGACCTTTAAGAAAAAAATATCCACTAGCATCCAGACTTCACCAAGTTGTTTTTCAATTTTTTCAAAATTTATATCCAACTTTGGAAGGACATAACTTTTTGTACAAAACTCCAAATTTAATGAAATACCACTTGTTTTAAAGATAAAATTATGATCTGTTTGCCTCTCAAAATTCATCCAATTACACAAAATCTTATTGATCAAACTTTACTCTTAGAAAGTAGTTGCTATTCTTTGTTATTCTTTCTTTTTCAATCCATATAACCATTCTAATCACATTACTCATGCCAAAACATGATT